CCATTCTATTGGATAACTGCCTCTACATTCTTTCCATATATTTGCTTCTGCATGTAAAATTGAAGTTGACAAGTCATAAATTTGTCTAATATTAAATGTGGTCAAACATGTTTTTTTTAATACATCTCCCAGCCGAATATGTTCTGGACAATATTGTACTTTTGATTCTTGTTTCCGCTTCACTATGGAAGCTCGACATAAGTAATACTGGTTTCTTTTCTATATCACTGAATTCTTTTTCTTGAAATAGATTGTCTCCTTTATAGACTTTGCCAAAGCAATAAGAAGTATTTTATCTGAAACATATGGTGCATCTCGAACAATCCAACCTCAACCTTCTTCCCATACACGTTTATATGAATTATAGTAAAGGATAAGTTGGTTCAGGAAATAATCGATGTAATAAAGAGTCAGCTTGTTAGTTTAGAAGTCAAATGATAAGCAAGGGGGGAACATAGTAAATTCATTACCCTTGACATTAAAGCTTTGTTACCAAGGTGGGTTTCATGTAATAATGCATACAAGTGGTCTAAACTTACTTATCAGTTACTGCTTCAATAAATCTTCAATTTGTTCTGTAAATAGATTGGAAAGATGTATACAAGTCAACCATGTGATCGCTTTCACCTATATGTTTAGCTATAAACGAAGTTGGATATCTATTGCCTGAGTTAATGGGATTATTTGACTTGATGTTGGAGCCGTTTTGGAATATGCTATGTAGCCTTTACTTGTATAGATTGATGGGTCCTTTCTATGTATGTGTGACCATACATACATATTATTACATTAAATCTTCTTGGTAACTCTGCTTTAATATCAAGAGTAATTAATTTACTGTTTCCCTCTCGTCCATCATTTGACCTCTAAACTAACAAGTTGATCCTTTATTATATCGATTATTTTCTAAACCATCTTATCCTTTGTGTTATTGCTTGTATTACATTGTCGTTGATTGGACCGAATTGATCAGTCTCTGTTGGCATCGCCTGTGTTCTTAACTATATAGTAATGATGTATAGTGGCTAGCAGTGGAATCCAGCATGCGCATTTCGTCCTATTTCGGACTTACCAGCTTGATGTACCTGCTTCTCAGTGAGTGATGTTGTTCCCACCATCATTATTATATAGTTAAGAACACAGGCAATATCGAGGCATTCGCGCAGAAGCCCATATGCCAACAGAGACTGATCAAGTCGGTCCAATCAACGACGATGTAATACAAGCAATAACACTAGAACTATACCCGTTGCACAAAAAGTGGCTATCGTGGCTCGGTGGTGTAGTGGATAACGCTCTAACGTTTGAAGTGATCGCTCCCGAGTCTGAATCCCGGTGGGAACAACACTCGCTGGGGGGCAGGTACATCCAGCTGACGAGTCTCAAATAGGAAGAAATGCGCATCCTGGATTCCACTGCTAGCCACTATCCATCACAACTTGTCCTTTATTGTAATTCATATAAACGTGCATGGGAAGAAGGTAGGGATCAGATTGTTCGAAGTGTATCGTTCTAATGAATCACGTTTCAGATTCCTTTTCAGTTTTTATTTTTCAGCATTACTGCGCGAAATTTGTTTGGTATCTGTTGTTTCGTAAACCATGTTTAATTAGCTAAATATTTGTTCGAAGTTTTTCGTAGAGAGTGCAGTTTGTTCAGCCATTGACATAACGCTCGTGTTAATTTGACAAGAGTGGTTAAAGTCTAAACATCGACCACTCCCCATGGTTTTTTCGGTGAATACTTGTCTGTGTTTTACGATCTCCTTTACGTTATATGCAGAAATTGAGATTCAACTGATGCTGATTTTCAAATTTCATAGTAAACTTCATGTTGGAATGGGGATTGTTTAAACTGTGGAGCATAGTCCATATTTTAATAAGCATCTTGTTCTACCAATGCTGGTTTCGTTACTTGATCAAAATAAAGTTTTTATTCATCATTTTGGTTATCTCGACCAAGAATATACCAAAAACTACTCCGTCTTACATCATACTTCAAATACATGAACACATTTTCAGGATTATTTTTAACTTTCAGTTTCACTCATATCCCATTGAAAGTTTTCTTATCTTTTTTGTTGCGTATATTTCGTTTTATGCGTATTTTGTGTAGAAAATAACACGCATTCATTCAACCCGCTTTCGAAATTTCATATCATTTTCTTTTCTATTTACTCAGTAGTCATAATTTCTATCATAGGAGCTCTTCCTAAATCTATTTGAATAGGTAACATTACAGGTTTTGTGAATTATATAGGAAAAATAATGTCTAAAACTTGCAGGTAAATCGATCAGTTTGTCGACTGAGTAGGTATACAAAATGAAATTACAAAGCAGAGTTAAAACCAATGCTGATTTCTATATATTTACATAATACAAAATAAACTGGTAGAACCAAACTTTATTGAAGTAAAACTTTAAGGACGACCTATCAGGTTTCAGATGCTGTGTTCCAAGTCATTCGTTTATCGTGTTGTTAACGCTGTGTAAACTTTGATGAATTATGAAGGAGACTACCTTGTGCATTACTTGCAGACAGTTACATTGGTTATGAGAAGTCCAAAATGTGAACATAATGGTGTAGTGGACTGTGTACTTAACACACTAAACGTAAACATAACCGAAGAAAACTGGTTAAGTTACATACATATGTATTGACAAATCATAGATTCTTGGTACATATAAACAAAAGATAGACTAGAATAATTTATCATACCAAATATCGGAAAATGGATAAAACTAGGTGCTGCAATATACATGGATGCTTGGAAGTTATACATCCCGTTATCGTAAATGGGTTATCCCTATCAACTCGCTGTTACTATAATGTACTTCATTGATCCGACGACTGCAGTGCACACAAGTAATGTCGTCTTCGAAAGTTCCTAAGACCTTTAGCAGGATCACAACATCTCATTTTCCCTAAGGGGATATGGTATCACATGGATAAGTGACAAAACAGACAATGCTGTGGTTTCAAGGATGATAAACGCATTGGATATCTAGGTATCTTTATTTTTGATTCAAAAGAGATTTACAGATTATAAATAAAATACCACTTTCCCTACTAATGACACTGTCCTTCATATACTCGATTCTGATTGGTCGGCGTATACATGAACGTGGTTTGCTGTCAGTAAAGTTTAGTTCTACCAGTAAACCTGATCCACCTTATACAGTTAGAATGACAAAATTTTCGGTTGCATTTTTATCATATTTTTGTGTGATTCTGATCTACTTTGATTTCTGTCGCGTATGCATCATCAATTAGTGATTGTTGACAGTCCCTATTTATCGTGTTACATTCTTTTCTGTTCTACATTTCGTCACGTGTAAACAAATATATGCTCTACGTATTACTTGTTTCTCACCAGTTTCCCATTATACACTATAAACACTTTTTATTGATTTACGAAACTAATTTGACTGAGCAGTCATAGAATCACGTTGTGCATGGAAATTTTTCGGAGTTGGGTTCATGTTATGAATGTAAATCATCCAGTTCTTGTTTATGTTGAACTATAGAGTATATGAGTGGGTGTAAAAGTATTTTTTGTTCAGTTATTGAATCGAATTTACCCTTTGACTTTTACAAATTAGTTGTCAACTAGTAGACAGAGTGAACAGTAGTTGTATTTGCTAATCGAATTTTATTGACTATAAAACGACGCGTGTCCAATAAGCTGATATATCGATGTTTGATTCTTACTAGAAGCCAGTAAAAAACCGTCGTTCCTAAATTTCGTGCCAGTTTGACTTACCATTATACACAGGTTACTGTAAGTAACTGTTGGTCATATTTCCTCTGTGGTGAATAATAAGTTTGTGCTATTATACCCTCATTAGGCAAACCAAGTTTTGAACGCATAACTCGTTGTTTGAAAGGCATTCGTTTTTGTATGATTCTCGTCAGGCAATTTTGGAGTTTCATCAATGGGATTAACTAAGTGTTTCTTTGAGAGTCCGTGGAGCACCAAGTCTTCTTTACATGCCTTTATCAATAAATAAAGCTGGGTACTTACGCAGGAGTAATGTCTTTCGGAAGGATTACAGTTTTCTATCCAACACATCCACCATGCATATGCAATAAATGCTTGTGATGCGAGAGGCAACCTGACTCGTTTTTTGCTCCTAAGAACAAAGTTGCTACACCTGTCTCACTTTTTCAACCCTCTCTTTTATCAGTATGCCCTAATATAATGTCCTGCTGTAGGCAACAATAATTGTTTCGTTTTACTTGCTGCTGTGGAGCTACTTACACAAGTCGTACTGGTAGGATATGCTTATTAACACTCACTGACATAGCTGTCAAAAGGAAGAGTTAGAACCATCAAAAGCACTCTGATCATATATTTCTGCCAGATCAATTAACGACAGGGGTTTCATTAAGAACATGGTTCTTTTCTGTACAGCAAACAGATACCACTGCTATGCATAAATAAACCCTTAAACGCTTTATCAGGTTCTGCTTACTTCAACAGCTTTTCCGCCTGTTTTCTAACTTTTAAAAGTGGTATTCATCCCCGATTGACACAGTCGCATCCTCACTTTGGACGTTCGAAACTAACACTTTCTCTTACTTGGGATATTCTTGTTTTTGTAAAGTACTTCTGAACTCTAATCACCATTTGGTATTTCGTAATTTTTTGTATTACATAAAACTAATCTGCACAATATGCTACTTTCTTCTTCAGGTTTACAGTTCAAAATATTTCGTTACTAACAGATACTTATTTTTTACACCTGTTGGAAATTTCCGTAACAGTTTGGAACTGCTGGTTAACTGTACACCAATGATTAGAAGTTACACAGCCCGTTTTTCGGACTGGTATCCTTTTGATTCACACTAAAAAACCAACTTTTTTTGAAGACCCAAAGCATTTTCCGAACTACTGAATCCCAACCCTTTATACTTAAACATTTTTACTGGAATCAAAAGTTTATTGAATATAACACTAAACAGGTCCCAATTACTGTATATTCTTTGATCTTCTTCAGGTTTTGACAAGATGTGAAGAAGGAAAATACAGCCGAACGCCTTTCGTTACGTCGAGTGTGTCTGATGTTTCAACAGCTGCACTGTCTACAATACCTCCTCTAGAAGTGACTGAGAGTGACAACTTACTTCGGAAAGCCCTTCACACTTTCCAATCTACTAAACGAGAAAATCATGATGTACAACTATTTTTCTGTCGTAAATGTGTGGGAGAAATCCTGATTGTATGAGATCACTCGTGTCAAATGTTTTTTAAAAGTACCAACGATGACAATCCATTTTAAAATTAACTGATTGTATTTTTGTAAATTATCACTTCTTTATTGACCGCATGTAAATAAATATAACTGTTTATTTATACATTTTCGATGCAGTGAACCCTAAATTGTATCTGGCTATCGATACTTTCATAATGCTACGTAGATAACTGCCATTCTTCTCCTAAACGTGCATTCCCTCCTATCTCATACTCAAGTTCAATGCAATTAAGAAATCTTACCAACAATATATTAGGATCATCAACGGAAGTGTTAGTTCTAAATAGCAAATTTATCACCACAGCAATGATATCTGACGACACTAAAATTTCAGGAAACATCACTTGACTTACCTCAGGTGCCTCCCTGATATCCACTGGTTGTCACCTCTGGTTATCACCTCTAAGCTGTCCCCAGTGCAGTGACACGCTAATTTCCTTGTCCACAGCTTATGATGATAATATAAGTTTAGAAAACAGAATCCTCCTTTCGAAACCGCGCAATAGATCCGGAGCTGTGATTTGTTCGTATTACTTAAGTGACAATGACCCTCAAGAGCAAAACTTCAGTTTGTTAGATCATACAAACACATCTGTCTGCTATCCTAGTGTAGTTACCAACACCAACTTACCATACGTACGTTAACTCCATAAGCGTTAGAGTACGATTATTTATGAATAAAAGTACCAGTTCCCGACAAGTTGCAGGGAAGAGTGCTAACTTCACAGGGCTTCAGTGGGTTGTAAAATATACTGTGCCCACTTGAGCAGATGGATTTTGAGTTAGAAATTTAGTGTAATTCAGCAGTCACACAAGTTCGTGCATAGGCGGTAACTCACCTTTTGCATGAGGGATCGTAATGCTGGTATCCGCATCCCAGTAAATGGAGTGCAGTTCGATCTCATAATTCATCGTATGACATTGAGTGCGAAAAAGTAATCAAACATAACGTAACTGGAGTGAATCACTGAGGCGACACTGTGTTGGTGTCTGCTTCTTTTCATTTTAAATGACCAAATAGCATGATGTTAAGCGCTAGTTTTACCGAAAGCAGGTAGATTTGACCTGGAAATAGGAAGTAAAATCAACAGCAAAGCCAAAATCACAAATACAACCGAGACACGGCAAATAGGAACACATGCATTCTGATCCAAAAACCTAAGCTTACATAGCAGATTACCTCTGCAGTAAACAATACAACTACGCGTAAAATCCGACGGTCCTTTAAATGAGACCTCGCTCGCATGTAAATCTGTGCAGAACCCACAGGTGAACGAAATGGACCAAATTCTCATCCATCATACTGGCTCGCAGTGAATCCAGGCTAGTGTACAGTATCAAAACTGTCTACTTTTTATACGGCTACAGAAGTGGCAGCTTGGTTAACACGTTGATTGCTAAGGTATCACTGCTATGAGAAAGATGTCAGATAAGAAACATATTACGTAGAACTCACTGAGTAGGAACTAGGGTACTGCACCAACTTCCCTATCCGTTAGAATTGCGGGGCCACCGAGTGTCACCCACATTTACTCCTTGTTGTTTGTAACATGCCAACGGGAAACAAAATCAAGCTCTGCCAGGGTGAACGCACCCGTGTGTTTGCACCACAGAATGACAGTATACCGTCCTGGTTTCAAAAAGCCTAGATGTGTTCCGTTCTCTCCTGAAAACCAATATATAATTAACCGTCTAAATGACGGGTATACCATTCTGTGAGAAGCAAGTACTGCGCTTAGTAGCGACGACCCCCTCACAATGGATGACTCTACACATCAGGTCACTTTCGGAAGTAATCATCTCTACTAGATAATGACTTACTGTTTTGACCACCTTCGAAACCCTCTCAATAAGTTTAGCTGACGACAGTAATACTTCAGATAGATTGGCGTTTGCGATTTACGGCTAGTGACTGAAATATTTCCGGATGAAATGAAACAAAAACTGCCAGAGTAAGAGCGCATATTCGTGAACAACAGGGTATGGGCAGTTTTACGCCTGCGAATTTTAGCACGTGACCACCCGAAAGAGCACTACCTAAGACTTCATAAACGGCCACATCGTCTCTGCCTGGAGGTAATTTTTGCGCCAAATGGCAAAAGATGGGGTTATCCCATGAATCTATCAGCTTCGGTTACCCCCTTTATACAACAAGATCGATGAGTGGCATTAGTAAACCATCTCAAACACTGGAATCCGTCCCCATAACTGACTCGCTTTTCGCAGGCTATAGGGCATTCCACGCGACACCTAGACTTCCTGACGGATGGGTGACAGTACAGTACTAACATCCACGAAGACAGCAACAAATACGACTGGGCGCCGGCTAACAACTTCTGGTATTTCTGCAGGACTTGTTTGCAACCGAAGAGCAAATAACTGATGCATATCATCTTTACCTAGATGAAGTACAGTGTACCATTCCCAACCAGACAGGAACCCACCGCACAAATATGAGAAGTAACACTGTACCGGTGGACGCAGAGCTACAAGAAAAAGCCAAGGGAATTGTTATGCGTCACTAGACTAGGCAGTAAACGCTTAGTGATTGAATAGAGTATGAGTACCTCCGCGTCCACTTTAAATTTGAGCAAACATATAACACGACTTCCCACTGTCGCGTTGCATAGGCGACGCAAGGAAACTATGCTACATCTCGACGACACTATGTACTGTATTCCAGATCAAACGCGCCGTACAAAAAGACCAGTTAGTTACTCTTAAGATATTTTATCAAGTATCAAAATGCATATTCAATTAAGAAAAACTCAAACAGTACAGCACTAAATATCCACACAAGTAGATAACAGAAGAACAATAAATTCCGCAGCAAGGCATTACCACCAGCCAATTGGGTATCCATCTTTTGCAGGTGGTCTGAGCCCTGTCAGCTGGCGGACGGAATTATAAATAAATACGAAACGGTAGAAAAGTGGTTAAGTCTAGATGGAAAGCCCTGATAGGCAAGAAATGCATCAGAAAGCACAGGAAACTAAAGCTGTAAGATCGAGTAGAGCAATCCCAATATCCATAAAGTTCTAAATTCGAGAGTTAGAGACATACAAGTTTGACCAGTTAGACGCCAAGACTGAGGAAGAGAAAATGTTGGTGTACATCCAAAGTATCATAAAGACAAGTGGTAATCCATTGTGCTGCAAGTTGGATGGTTAAACAATTGAGTTGAAACTTAGACATGCACATATGAATGCAGACAGAATACACGTATTTCTAAAATGACAGTGCTTGGAATTTGGTAATCAGGGCGACGCTTTACACATCACGCATATCCGGTGAACCTACAAATAAAAACACGTATCAGATTTATGGTAAAGTGTAGTTTAGCAGTTATGCTAGCTAATGAAAAAACTATAAGACAACAAAGGAAGAGGTAAAAAGGATTGCTGGACGGAACAAGTTTCATGAACTTGCCACTGTCTAGTTTGCAATAAAGACTACTGATTCTACCTTATCATGATTATGCAGCTGTTGGTTACTTGTATATCTACCATAGATGGGTCCACGATCGCGTTACACATCTATGTAGCTGTAATAGCATAAACAAGCACTCACAAGTTTAAATAAGTTAGACTAACCAATCACCTACCATTCTCGCCATGGTAACTATCTCTTCCTCCGCGAGAACCGCTGCGCCCCCGAGGTTCGAATCCACCGGAACCACGAAAACCACGGCCACGAGGTCTGCCACGTCCACGAAATCCTCTTCCTCGTCCACCACGGTCCACGAATTCATAGCCGCCTCCATACTAAAATGAAAACGGAATTATTTAAATGCTGGAATTTTTCGAAGTACTAATCCCATTCTGACAGACGCAACGTCAGATACCTAGTGAGCGCTGTTCTAACACCACCAGCCATCTGTTGCTGACAAAACAGCCGGCACGACACCAATCACTACCGAAGCCATCCATCACTGATCCTAGAGAGCAGTCTCAACTCGTCTCAAAAACCGACTAATGGTCCACGAATATAGTTTGTCTAATTGTCTGTGCTAACAAAGCGTTCTCCACTGTTCACCTCGCAATCCTTACCTATAGAACTTATACCTACTTATGACTACAAGGCGAAACTAGGGACACCAATCAATGTCGCTGGAATCTTCCACTTTGTCATGATGTAGTTGGCAAAATTAATAACAAGGTTAAGCACATATAGATGGACTACACGCCAACTTTGCAGGTGGGATCTTAGTCTTATAATTCCTATGATGTATAGGTTGAGAACCCGGCAAACTTTTACGAAATGTGAACACCTAGTGAGGGCTTACACTTTATACAACTGTCTGCGGTTCTGCCCCACTTCCTTGCTATCGAAAAAACAAGGGTTACTGTCATCATGCATCATAATTTCTCAAGTAAGAAAGGTACTCTTGATTTTGTCTGCAAAGAGAAATTCCAGCTGACCAAAGTTGCTGAATCCAGCACACTAGACAGCCAGTCATTAACGACTAAAGTCTGACTGCCAACAGCCGTGTCAACCTTAACACTAGGAATCTGGGACTACCACACTCTAAGCGAGACTAAAAGATTCAGTAAACTATCATCAAGTAGTCTGACTGCAGATCACTTCATCTCCACCCTAAGTAATGCAGTTTCAAAAACTATGTCCTTCACATCGAAAGCTATTAGTGCTGTCTGTTATCCAACATAGTGTGTATTTGACACTCCGAAAGGTTGTTTCGCTTAGACATAAGCCATAAGGTTAGAACTAGTTTCATGCCATTTACAACTGCAGCCCTTAGCGGTGAAACCGGCAATGTTATATGCGCTGAATAAAGGAAATCGGATGTCACCGTCACTTCCCCGTCTTGTCGTTCGTCTGTAAGGGCTCACAGAGAGCACTGATTTCAAAGACCACATCCGGACGGGAAATTTAGCAAGCCAGGAAGTATTTTTAGCTGCCATATCCGCGAGCAAAATCTCAAGCACAGGTGTCATTCAGACACACTTGAAGTTGTAACTGTGAACCATGCAGGTAGAAATAATATTCTTCCAACTTACCATATCTGGACCCCCACGACCGCGTCCACGACCCCGAGGGCTGTAATACGGTCCGAAGTCCTGATTACTAGAGAACCCTCCAGGACCCATTCCACGACCTCTTCCTCTCATATTAAATACACGTGGGCTCCTCCCACGCCCACGAAGAGCAGCATAAACACTTCCCTAAGGAAACAATAAACATCTCATAAGCTATACCTTAACAGGTTCGCCTCCCGGTCCTGTCACCTCGCAAGCCTCATCACCTTTATCACCTTCTACAACGTAGAACTCCACTTCTTCACCTTCCTGGAGAGAGCGCTGAAGCTTCTCCGGGTTGTTTCTTGATATCGCTGACTGATGGACAAATATATCCGTGGACGTATCCTGACGGTTAATGAAGCCATACCCAGCCTTCACATTGAACCACTTCACAACACCCTTGACGCGCTCCTCCACAACCTTACGTGGAGCATTCTGCTTCAACTCCTCATCCTTCTCAGTTGGTCTAGTTTCCGCCATAATATAGTAGCCCACACCCTGATGGTAATCAAACAAATGGGCACGCTTCTAATCCGAACGACCACGACAACCGACTTGTACCGCGAAATCTGATAGACATTTGCTGCTATTCAGTAAAACACAGTGTTAAAACTTAGCACGTATAGGTTCATCATCGTATATTGTTCTTTGGTTCCATGAAGTAGAAGTCTTCTATTATGTCTATCCTAAACTTTCAATGTGCTATAACTGTTGAGTTTTAAGGAGCGACAGAATATGTGGACTGGAAAACATGAAATTTGGCAAAGTAAAATGGCATTTTTAGCGTGTTTTGTGATAATGTAACATTTCTGTGTACTGAATTAGTATCTTCCTATACATGTACCTGACTCCGTCTCAGACTGGTTTCAAAAAATGTTTGCACAGTATATCGCGGCTCTGTCTGATCAATGTGTTGTGAAGATACTTCCAATGACTCTCTGCTCCTATGATACTAGCCGGCACGCTAGTTATTGTGACATGCTACTGAATAACCACTTTGGTAACGACTAGAATCCGTGTCCACGTTGCCAAATTGAATGTCCCCAACAGCTTACCAGATTTGACTCAGACCGTCAGGCACCCAGGGCCTTTATCAAGAAAAAGTTGCATCATGTTATTCCCCTCCGACAATGCTATAGTAGCAAAGTTTATACAACTAGGACCATTTTAACTTCAATTTCCGCTCCCAATCGGGACAGTATAATAGGGGGCTTTTCAGAATCAATTCGTTATCAAAACAGCACTGCTACCTACTACTCCCCTCCAAGCATGGTTTGGGATCAGACCCTTCGGGGAGGAATGTGGATACCGTATCTGATGAGTGTTAATGTAGAAGCAGGAAGAAATACAGCCAAGTCGAGGCACTGGGTGGATATGATGTATCAAATGATAACAGCTCTGATAGAGTATCGACGCTCCCTGCTGAAATCAACCCCAGAATAACCTTTCCATTTACCAATCAATTGAGAAATAGGGATTCCAATGTCTATACCCTAAGGACATGGCCAACGCTCTCTTTCACTTTTTATTGCCAGCCGTTATCAAACCCAGGAGGGACTCACAAAGTCGGCTACATGCGTCCTGTGGGCCATCCCCCGTAAGCGGAACAATGGGTAGGGTATGGATTTATGAGGGAATTGTATCTAAAATGGTGAATCACAACCCTCACCTGACACTTTCATTGAGGAGAAGGATTCTTTTCTACTGGCTAACCACGAAGGACAGGACCTTGCTTACTGGAGGGAAGCATGTAGACGTTCAGGAAGCTCTTCTCGTGGCCCGACGCTGAGACGAACACGAGCAGATTCTCCCCAGGAGGTTCTCCGACAGCTTTTGGGAGTCTTTCTACAAAGCGCCTGCTAGTCTGACCACATGTTTTTCTAAAGTCGCCTTTTACTGGAGCATTAAGTATCAGATGTTGGGACTAGGTCTGTGTACCCGTGGTATGTGAGGAATCTACTCTGTAACATCGAGAAAATTCCGTCCCAAGACCTGTTCAACAATCATAAACTGGATTCCTGAATATGTGGATACTGAGACTGCTAGAACTTATTGACGACATAGATCAATGAGGTTATTTGGCCGACAAACTGCGGGTTGATGTGAGAGCCGAAAAATTCCCCGTCTTCAAAGGCTGGCTCACCTCACACGCTACTTAAACTAACCCTCAACTTTCATGACATGGTCAGAGCAACTCCGGAACAATAAATCAAATGCTTCCTATTAGAGTACCAAAACGGGCAAGTGTACACCCACAGAAAAAAGGCAGACGGAAAAAGGATTCAATTACTTGTCGCTGGTTAATGTATGTCTAAGGATCGATTAGCTGTGAGATGAACATGAGTTCTTTTCTTTATCCTAATCCTATGAATCATTTGCTGGCTTTACAACAAACATTATCAGCCAGTTGGACGCGCTTACCTCTGCTTCCTCATTGGCCAGATGAACTTCATCGAGACGACGTTTTAAATACTAACCGCCACTTCACTGACTTAACCTACTTCTGGGACTCCAAGTCTTCAACCTGACATTATTTGTATCTACAGAGGTTTGTGCTCCAAGAAAGCTGAGATGAGATTGTTGGTTGGGCAGGATCGTCTTGGTATAATAGTGATCTGTGAAGCATGACTCGCGGCAAAGATAAAAGATAATGAGATTTCCTGCCTGGTCAACTCATTTGGAAGCAAAGGTCAGAGAAATTAGGACGCCGCATCGCTCTTTAGGCCTGCCCCCTGTGAGAGTTCACGAGGTTTTCTCCCTCCAAATAAGCACCAATGATTTACTCAAATGTACAGTAGAAGGCTACGGAGTCTCTTTGCTTTGTTTTGACTTCGTACAGCCCTCTCTGAACCTTTTGGGAATGCGATAAAATCCATTGCGGGAGCTGTAGATGCGAGCCGTCTCCTGGTGTCCACTGCTGGCACATTCTGCTTTTCACAGCTCTTTATCACCATAAGTCCATCCGCCCTTGAAGGAAAATTTTGGGAATTGCTACTGGAAAACTGCTTTACTTAACCTGTCTGTCAATGTGTTGGGTGGAGTCCCGACGCTTAGGCACCCGAACAGATTATGTTCTTACTGCTCAGTTCACCAGTGTGCCCAAGTTAATTGCCCATGGCTTGTTTCCTTCAACATTTTTAAGTCTAAGTCACCTGTCCCTGATCAGCCAGTTGCCATAAATTATTGGGTCAGAGAAGAATTATAAGGTTCTGCACTGCCGAATTTCAACTACTCACTTGATTTTGACAACAGATGGCAACTCTTGAGTGGCACAATACTTCGGGCGATGAACGAGAGCACTCGTTTCATCCCGTAAAAAATCAAAAGGTCCACTTTTCTTTGCCCAAACCAAGCACTCGTACGTTCACTCGGTGCAAACCGTCAACTTGGAGTCGGTGAAGAATTTCTAATGACACCAGTGATTTGAAAATTTACAGGGACATCCGTAACACGCGCATAGTGAGTATTGGAAGCGATAAGTTAAGTTACCGGGTACATCCATGGAGAACACTGATGCAAAATTTCGGGCTTTGTATTCACTGACGAAACGGAAGGGGACCGTTCCACTTAGAATAAAGACCCCGGTAGTTCAATGATTCACTACATTGTCCGTGAGATAGCCAACTCACTAACCCAGAATTTGAAAGTAATTTCTGTCAGGTGAGCGGTATAGTCACACCAAAAGTAGTCACCAGCATTAAAGGGGAGTTAAGCTATATAAAATTTGAGTCTTTTGAAAGCTGGGGAGTCTGGAGGGGGTCAAATCCCAATAACTCCTCAGGGATTGACATTGTTCACCTAACGGTACTGAAAGCGTTTGCCTGCACTCCAACTGTCCTACTAGCAAACTTATTCACACAGTCGTTCCCAGAAGGCAGGTTGCTCTCCAGCCGAAAGTGGGCAGCTGTCACTTCGTCACGTGAATATGACAATAAACTGCTCGCTTTTAACCAAAGATCACTCTACCTAGTCTCTTCAGCTGCAAGGGGCATGGAAATAGTTGTCAGTGACTCGTCTCATGGTTGTTTACTTTGGAACTCAGTCATAAATAACTGTCAGCGCTGGTTTTGATTGGGAGATCATGTAACACAAGTTTGATGGTAGTATGGAATAGGTGAACCCTCTCTGTTGAGCAGGTGAAGTCAAATCACATTGGGCTAATTGACTCTTCCGGGGCCTTTGATAGGGCCATTCATGGTATCCCGTTCAGTAAACTTCAACCAATTGCAGCATATAGGAAGTCAGCTAGTTGGTTTGAGGGTTGCCTGAACATTTGTTTGCAATCAGAGTTAGCCCTTCCTTATCCAAATGGTTCTCAATACTGGCAGAAGTGCCTCAGGGTTTCATATTTAGTACAGCATGCTTTTCGCGTTATAGACAACTTGTAGGGAGCCTAAATTCTCACTCGATAAAATGCACTGAGGAAATGAAGGTTTGGAGCTTGATACAATGACCAACGGAAGTCTCGGTCACACAAAAAGACCGTTCTAAGACCGTAAACTGAACAACAAGAGACCTGTTACCTCACAAGGCAGGGGAGTGAAAGGTAATGGTTGTGGACAAATGCTGATATAATTCTAGTTCCTCCCCCCACTTACGGAACAGTAATTTCTCCCACTAAGACACTGAAATCAATCCAGAAGCCTTCACCCATCATAGCCCTGATGCCAGCAAGGCATATGGAGCCCCTGGGTTACCCTCTCAAACTTTAGAAAGCCGAAATTCGGCACTTTTCGCCAGAGGCTTATGGCTAACGCTCGAGATAATTTGCTTTAGGCAGCCAAAACACGGCAAATAGGAAGGCAGCGGCAGAAGTACGAAGTGTTTCTTTCAAGCACTTTGGTCGACAAGTCAAGCGGGCGGAACTTAACAAGTATATTAAAAGTTATCCACCATTCAGTAGCGGGCAATAGTAAATGCAAAGTTTACAACAGATGGAAATTATAACCAAGTTTACCGATCACTGCATATCAGCGATTGTTATGTCTTTCTTTCTGAAGATAGGCACGGACATACGGGCTGGGCTGGCATGACAGTTACGAAAAGGGTGATTGAGCGGCAGTACAAGTCTTGTCTCGATCACCTAGTTGCTTCCAAGCCACATCCGGTGCAGTAAATCGGTGTCATGTGAGATATTGACACAGTGCATACCATTACCCATGATCCTCATCCTAACCGATTGCTCGTAAGCTTTGTTCAGAAGCCTCATCTCAGAAGTTATCCTGTGAGAGCACAGTATGAGACAGCAAGTGGGCTGATACGTACCTGTTTGCAGTTGTGGTATGTAAATGGCAGGGCACTGTCCCTCAAAAAGTCATAGAGCCCTTTCTCATTGCCTTCAGAAAGAGGTTAAATACACACCGCGAATCCTTTGATACAGGTGGGCTGCACACGAAAAGTCACAAGTCGTCTTCGAGACCATGGATGTTGGCACCACCTAAAACAAGCTGACCATTTAATTTCTGCTCATCTCTGCCCTT